TCCACTCTCCTTTCGTTTCGTCAGTCTGTCTACCTAACGAACCTCGCCTCTTCAAAGGCGCACAAAAACGGGAAAATCCAGCTTATAACACCGTTTTACTGGAAGCTATTACTCTAGAAATTCTAGCTGAACCGGTGCGGTGGTCTTTCGAAATTCACATGTCCAGTTTCGTAGCGCGTTTAGGGGGCGCATCAACGTTCCTCTTCGATTTAATTACAGGCCGACAAATTAGCCTGAATCGCCGCGTTCCGTACGACCAGGGAACTCGGTTTAATTTAATTGTTGAATTTCATTAGCCGGTCTCGCTTATTTTCTTCCTGTTGCGCAACGAGAAAAACGATCGTAAAGCTTGTTTTAACAACGACCAATTTGCGTCAGACAACGGCGCGGTGCCATTTTTGCGGTGAACAGTTGCCCCCCTCGATGGATTTCGTGCCGCGATTCTGATGGAGAGTAAACGGCCACGGCTGACGATCGTTTATATCCGAAGAAAGCAACCGAGATTTACCCGCTGTTACCTCCTCACCCCGTATTTGTACGTATTAGCCGCGCTTTCGCAATTTTATCGACGGCTAGTTTCTCCGTCATTGGTTTCTAGTAGCCAAAACTAGGTCTCACGATGTGTACATACACTATTCAAAAATTACACGATGCATCATTTGTACGATCAGCACGTTTTTTCTGTTCATCAAGTGTGGTCATTGTTATCTAAGATGAATCGAAATTCTGAAGTGTTCAAGGATGATCGGTTTTGTTATTCAAGGAAAGATGACACTTTTAAAAATGGTCTTAATCGTGAATAACAATTATTCTCTTCAGTGGAAATATACATATCTTGTCATTAGTCCTAACGTTATATCTGGAATTTTTTCAGAATTAAAAAAAAATCATTTAATTAGAATTATTATAAAAATTTGAAATTTCAAAAATGGAAATATGGGATAAAAAAAAATTTGAATAATCAAGCATGTTACAAGTAATTTTACTGCCATATGAGGGGTTATAAATGTTTGGTAAAAAGTTATTATCTTTAACGTGGGAATTTTGATTGCACGTGTCTTTTGTAGAAGTCATTAAAAAATTACGACGCTACTAGTATTTTCATTGCAGAGAATATTTTCACGTTTTACTCTCAGAATCTTTTCTAAAAGTTATACTAATTACTGTTATTACTGTAACGCTGAAACTATTAGTTTTGTTAATGATACCTAATGGAGCATAATAACACCGTGATTTATAAGACTCATATTAACCTAAAGTTAAGAAGCTTTAGTGCCCAACAGACTTATTAAATTAATTACGAAAGGTTTTAGAAATTTCTATACCATCACAAGAGTGTAACAATCATGTTAAAACTTTATTTAATAATCAATTATTAGTAGCACTTTATAATAATTAATTACAAAAGCTGAAATTTCACTTTAATTGAATTATTGAGGACTCTTAAAGGTAACACGTTTGTGTGATTTATAATTACGAGTAAAAATTAGATTCATTAAAAACATGATGCCTGATTAATCACGAAATTCAGTTCACACGAGATTGTAATCCTTCTAACGAGGGTTATATAATTTCTTAAAGCGAGAATAAAGCAACACAATGATCGAATCGATACTTATATTTATAAGGAACAGACTGGAAAAAATATATGAAATATTCATATACTCGTAATAGCAGATTGGCATCGATTACGTAGATCTACTGTTATTCAGAATAGATTAAACTGTGAGTCAAACGAAAGTGAAAATTGTATCGGTGGATTTTTATGTCGATGATATAAAATACTTTGTTGCATCAAATTTTAATAATATAGTATAAAGCTTATTATTTAATAGGACAATACATAATAATTTTTATTAACTCGTGGAATGATTTATTTTTTATTTTATTAACGCGTTGAATTGTGGAATCATCAATGACTAATACTTCAAATTTATTATTATTATTGCTTCGACAACTAATCACGTTCAAATATCGTTTTAAAATCACGTTTTGTTATATTGTTTATTTATATCGTTATTGAGGAAAGAAGGTTTAACGAGGCTACTTAAGTTGACGACAATGAAACGAAGCGCCAGTTTATTATTGCAAAAAGTCTAGGAGATAACAGGTTCATTAAATTGGTGAAAGTGGCTGTAATAAAGTCTATTAGATTCTTGATCAGCTGGTCTCGCGTTTTCTTCGGTGACATTTTTAACTATGTCCTTAGTTGGAAATATAGACAATAGAAAATTGCTTTTCCTTTGAAGAAAAGCAATCTTATGAAGACAAAAGAATAGAAAAATAGAACTAGAATTATTAGTATTCCACTTGGTATGAAAAAACGTCACAGAGGAAACGCAGAGAAATTGAAAAGCATTAATCACACGTTTTTACACACATTTTCGCGCAATTGATTGTTCGATCTCACGGGAGAAGCGGAGGAGTGAAACCTATGGTGGATGAAAGTTCCCACAGGAATAAAGAAATAGCGAACGTAGGACTCTGATCGTACAAGGAAAATGCTTTCGTTAATTATGATTAATTTTCTCTGAATGGCAACACCCGGATATAAAAACCGATACAATGTTGCAACATTTCTGTTGCTCTATATATATACATACTCGTTAAATCTATAATGAGGTGTAGCTGCATCAGCCGGAAAGAATGCGTTAGAAGAAACGGATATTGATCAACCTCATTTTCTGCTGATTAATAATCGAGTTTTATGGTGAAATGACGTGAACCTCAATTTCAGTGAATCAAAAATTAATTAAATCTTTAGATGAGTGGAGCATTTTGTTTTGAAGATTATAAAATTAGGTATTTGAATTTTTAATTTTCTACTATAAATTTTGGAAATATTAAATTTCATGAATGCAAAATGCAAAATATATGCATTGCAGGAAAATAAATTACTAAAATTTGAAATTTGAACCACTAATGTAAGACATATAGATTTCCAAAATTTTTAATCCTCCAAAGCGAGAAATATAAATTTCTAAAATTGAAAATTTAAACCCTCAATGTGAGAGATATAAATTTCTAAAATTAAACATTTGGGCTTCTAATGTAGAAAATATAAATTTCTAAAATTTGAAATTTTAATGCCATTAATTATCAGCTTATCGTCCTAAAATCTTTAAGAAATTATTAATCATTTAATACAAAGTATGTTTGGAACAATATCCCAATAGCTGGATAAAAGAAATAAGAACCCCATATCTAAGGTTGTTTCTCGAAGATAATGATGGATACTTGTATTGTAAGTAATCACTACGAGATGAAGAACGTGTACACGTTTCTATGGAGGCTTTAACGGATTATTGTTTTAACAAGGTACATTGTAACATAAATTATTCTCCGTTACATGGATGTCTGCAACGAGTGTGGGAAGCTTATACCCATATTTCATTCAATAAAGGTTCCAGGTGTCTTAATTATTATGCAAACTAGGGAAACTACACGTCTATCAATGGAACTATATAATTTATGGATATCGAATTATTGATTTAACGATATCCATTGTTTATTACGATTAAATCGTCAATTGTTTAAAGAAAAACTTTCTTATGAGAACTGAGGTACTTTAAGGAAACGAAAAACGAGATACAAATTAGATAAAGAATAGTAACGTAACATCAAATAGCAAAGTTTTGATATAAAAAAAAATGAATCAATAGCGATTGTATAGCAGATTGCAATATCGAAATAGTCCCCTGGGTTAATAACGAAACCCCATGTCTTTCCAATACATCAATCGTTCAACATTGCTCCTAATATGGATTCGAAAGTAAATCGAAAGTATTCAGTGCACGTTTCATTGCATCATTTTTGACAGAACCTAATACTTGTACTTTCAGGGTTCTAATACTGTCTCCATCGCGGCATTGAAATCACTTTCAACGATGAAAGTAACAACGTCCTCGGTTCAATACTCGAAAGTACTCTATAATTTATAAATTCTTCATAGCCTTTTGTTAACACAAGTTTGTTTGCACTCGTCAAGTATACACCATATAAAATCAATGTCTCCTTGCAGTTTTCGTAATCCTTCAAAACGTGGGATTTAATCAAGGGAAATTAAGTATTTTCTAGCATTAAAAGAAGAGTAATACCATGCTGTCACTAAATAAACCATTAATGCTCTATAATTACGAGAAAGGTAATTTAACATAATTGTCACGAAATAGGCCCCCTTACATTCATGCACTGTTTGAAATAATAACTGCGTTTAATATAAGAACTATGTTGCTGGATAAAATATTTACAACTTCATAAAATAATTGTATCTATTATAAAATGTATTTTTCATCCCCTATTCTTCCTTTAATAGATAGAGCTAAAAAGAATAATACCTGTCAATCAAATCTCAATAATTCAATGTATAATTAGGATTACGTAAAATTAGTATTTCTGGAATCTTTTAGAATTGTGCTATAATAAGTTTGGATTATGCAACCCTTGCAACTCTGTTTCCAATGAAACAATAGGGTGGAACGAAATACATATAGAGGTAGAATTTCTGTTCCATTATTCAAGTCTTCTAATAATAGGTTTCAAGCTCTCAACATTTAAATTAGATCAAGAAATTTTTTAAGATTCTTCAAATCACTCAAAAATTATTTCCATTGGTTTATAATTTTTCATAATTTTCCAATAATTTTTTCATTTGCTTCCTTACTATATAATAATAACATAAATAATCATGTCAAAAAATTTCAACTATCTCATTAAATAAATTCCATTACAAAGTTTCACAATTCTTATAACACCTTAAAAATTATTTTAATAGGAACTAGCTTTCGCATTCTTAATCTGGAAGCTTAAAATGAATCTTCGTTCACTATCAAAAAACAGTCACACAATTTTGATTTCCTTCCACCCTAATGGACACTGATCGAGGCCGTTGATCCTTGATCCACTGCTGATCAACATGAATACGTAGCTGAGAGGATTTCGTGTCGAGTCGATGTAAAGATGCACGATCATTAGAATCTTGCAAAAGTTATTGTACATACCAAAGTTATAATCCTCATGGTGCACGCGTTGCTGACGAGGAGGGTACAAGTAGCTGAGGAACGATCCTCCGAGAGTTTCACTGAGAGAGTGCAGTGGTGTAGTGCTGAGCTCGGTCCTTTATAACCTATAGGAACGGTTTTGCTTACAGTGGGGGGGAGCTACCACGGATAGTAGTCAGTTGGACGACGGTGTAACAATCGCAAAATAGATTCTCGGAGGCCGAGGCACGGGGCATGGCCATTGCCAAACCAGAACGCCACGGGCCTGACATTGCCAAATTGTATGGGAGTGCGTGGAAGGTAACTTGCAGCATGCGAACGTGTGGGGACCATCACCAGCACACATACGCCATGAAACGCGTCCGGCTTGATGGATATAGGTCGAGCTCGCACGGGCTATAAGAGAAGACTTTTATAAGCGTGAATCGATAATGATCTGCTGCTTTGGCGGGAAGTGATCTTTGAATGTGTAATCGTAAGAGTGATGCAATTCGACGAATGTTTTTCACTGGCCCGCTGGAAAGTAATTTTTAAACGTAACACGCCTCGACAGAAGAATAGAAACATGATTTATGATCTCTGATTGTTGCATGTAATAGGGATGAAATGGCTATTGTTTCTCTTCTTTTCTTTATTTTTTTTAAATTAATTATTATGTGAAGGGTTTATTAGAAAATTGTGAAAATTAACAGAGGTTTAGGTAAACATTGTTTTCCATCTTTTCCTTAAATTAATTATTTTGTGAAGGTTTTGTTAGAAAATTGGGAAGATTGATAAAGTTTTAAGGTAAAACGATAGGGGTGTACACCCTCTAATTTAGGATGCACGAGAATTTGTTAAAAAAGTACAATAATAAAAATAATAAAAATTAGAATTCTAAGTATAGTCATAATTTTTACCGTTGTTTCGAACACAACCGGTATAACAGTAATTATAAATGAAATAACGATGCCTTTCATAAAAAGCTTACTTATAATTATAACGTTAACATCTCCAGATGGTATTATCTCGGAGATCAGCATCGATAAATTTATTAGAAACTAGGAAGCTCGACGAGCCGTTCAACGTAATTTCAAATTATTAATTAATTGTATTTTAACGTGACGTGATTGCTCTCCGCGTAAATCCTCTTCGCAGGAATTAGAAGAAAGTGGCAGTGTTATCACGCGGTACGATCATCGACGATATCTAAATCGCCTTGAAAATGCTGCATTTTAATTTGGGAGAGTCATTGTAATTGATGTTCCTACTTCACACGCTGTGTAAGTGTACATACATACTAAACGTATGCGCTACTTCAAACATTGAACAACCGATCGAAACTTTCGCTGGTATTAATAGCTTAATATCGCTTGCTATTCAATTTTTAGAAATTTCAAATTCTGCTATTTTATTTCTATAATAATATTTTTGAAAAATTATATTTCTTATTTTATGTATATTAACCCTTTAACGGATACACGTTTTATGCAATCAATACCTTTTATAATTTGATACTTCTTTTTATATCAAAAACTTGATTACTGTGATAATTAAGTTTGTGATTACAAACACAAAATTATTAACTTTCAGTTGCAATGAATAGAAATAAATAAAAGAATAATGGCGTAAAAAATGATATATGGAAGTCATGGATACTTGACTACTCCACAAATTAGAATTAGATTATACTAGCAGTAAGTGACCTTATTAGAGTCACACAGTGTAAATCAATTTGCAAACAAATGCTATACAATTCATAGAATGTAAACCAAGAAAAATTAATACAATTGTTATATATATTCCTTACAATTTAGAAAGTGAATTGCATCTAATATGCATCCACCCTTATCCTCTGTTAACATTGATGCAAGAGCTCTATCGTTCAAAGGTCAAAAAGCACTTGCTCATTTTGATAATTTTTAATTAAAGTACATAATATAACGCAGTGTTTTAAAATTTAAATTGTTTCCAAAAAATTGTTCTAAATTAAAAAAGAAAAAGAAGTTGCATAGAAATTGACCAAGATGCTTTATCGGTTATGAGTTGTGCTCGATCCCACAGCTGGTTTCTCGGAAGAAAATTCACTTACCTACTTTCATTACCACGACCAGACGACGATCGAGCTCACTTTCAGTATCATCAATGGAAAAACGAGGGGAACGGATGCACCAGGTGAACTTCATTTACACTGTCCTTCATAGAATGGTTACTGTTACCATTTTAAGACTCGTCCTTAGTTGGTTACGGTTTATTATCATTGCTACAATGCTTCTATTAAGTGAAAATTCCTAATTTAGCAATTATTGATGTGGTACATGAGTCAATTTTAACAAGAAAGGAAAATGGAATTGTTTGAATTATTTTTCTCTTCCTTTAGTATGTTAATTACACACTATATATTATTCTATTTTGCCATTTTCGAGTAACAATACTTACTTTGAGTGTTAACAAATTTTTAAAAGTCTGAATTAGATCTAACAATTTATTGCCAGATATTTGTCATCATATGATTGCAGAGGTGTTTCAATTGAAAACAATTGGTTTCTTCTAGCAGACAGCATGTAATGAGTTTGAAATGACAGAAGATATTTTTCATATCATATAAAACATGTAAGATTAATTTCGATACATAAATGGAAAGGTATTAGAATGAAGAAGTAGTAAGCAATCCTTGTGCAAATGTCGTAATACTGAGAACAGTGTGTAGTAAAAATGTATAAAAAAACAAATTATACCTTTTAGTTATTGCTTCGTTTTTAACGTCAATCATTTCAACATTATCGTACATTATCTCTACAGAATGGTATTTTCTATCATGACGTTTAACCGATTCCACGTTACTTCGAGCTGACCGTCTTAGAACTTTCCAAGGGGAAAGTTCTTTTCACAAGACCGTTTTCGCGTTCATAGTTACAAGAGTTGATTTATAATTTCATTCGATATCTTTCTTCTCTTATTTCCGGTCAATTTATTGTTCCGTCTGTCGTTATTTAAAAATATTTTCGGTGATTGCTCTTGAAAAAAATGTAAAACCTCTGCGTTCAAATTTTCCTTAGTGCAAAGTGTAATACGAAATTTCTCCTTTCGCTTCCAAATAAATTTCACGCACATTTACAACTTCCTTCCATTTTAAATTCTATTAATTAGTAGAAATTTAGCGTTAAGACTGATTTCAATTTTAATAAACAATGTTCTTTGGTCAATAGTTTAGAAAGTGACGTGGAAATTAACTTTTTGTCACGTGATATTTCCTTTTTCGGAAAAAAGTAACTGAACATTTAGTACAGAATTAAATAGAATAGTACTATTAAAAATTGATATGAAAATGCTTAATTGGTGTCTTAATTTAAAGGTCGGTAAATTACAGCCCCTCGGACCTTTGGTCTGCCTTCTATTCTTTTATGGCAATGAGTTCAGAATCACTTTTATGGTTTTAAAAGGTCGAAAGAAAAATATGCTATGATACATTTTAATCATAAAACACTTAAAATCTTTTATTTTTTGAATATCTATCTTCATGTTGGCTCTCAAAGGTTAAACGTATGAAAATGCATAATTAATACAGTATCTATTATCACTGTTATGCACATGTAAACATTGCTGTCTTGATTACCTTGATACCACCTTGCACTTACGCTATCTACACCTATATCTACATACCATTGTAACTCGGCAAAGAGTCGAATTAGTATGTAACACAATGTTAAGGATTACAAGACAAATCACAAGCAATATGTTGGCAGCGTGCCAAGTGATCGTGTCGTGATGTACCTTAACATCGAGGTGAGGATTACTTCATGTTCGTTGACCTTCTTATGTGCAACGAGGCTGCCGCCATCGCGTTCGTTGTGCAGGTGTAACATTATGAAGAATCATTCGTAGCTTGCATAATCCTGTACAACAATGTCTACGACGAAGTCGGTGACTTTGTCTTCATAGAAAATCTTAGTTAAAAGTGTCATTCCACTAAAGAAGTCTAGGGATGTTTATTGAATATCAGAAGGAAAATTGTGAAATCTTTAAATTTTATTAAACAGGTATCTTGCTCTTTGATATTTTATAATAATGGAAACGTGTAGTCAATAATTCATTTAAAATTATATTAATATTGTATTAGAATAATTAAATTATTTTGTCATTGGGGTGTAATTAAGTTAATTGGGTATGGTGTAAATTAATTGTTTTAGTACCTGGCAATATGAAGTTTCACCTGAATTTTATTTTTTAAATAATTATAAAAATCTGAAAAAAGTGTTTATTAACTAAAAAAGAAAACTTCAAAGTAATTATGGTACATTAAAAATTATTTTAGTTGTAACTGGGCTTTGTAGACTAATTATAAGTCTTCACTATGTATTAGAAAAGTCATCGAATTTTAATTGTCTGTTCCACCTTACTCTACAGAATTCAAAGTAATATAAATAAACTAAATTTTTTAAAAATATGAAAAGTTTTGCACACCTCCAACATGAAACATCGTGAGACTTTTGAGCAGTGCTATATTTCCGCATTCTCCATGATTGTAACCTTTTAACTTGTCATTGTGGGCGGCAGTGATTTTGACAGTGACGAATGATGAAAGAGGGTTCGAACGAAAGGAGTCGGGTTTATACGTGAGGGAATTGCAACTCGTTAGGCGAAGGGAACTGTATCAACGGTTGATACGGGAAATAGTTTCAACGATGTTTGTTATCGTCTAAGCGAGTCACGCAAAATGTGCCCGCCGGTTTCAACATTGCAGAGCATAGTTACAGAACCTGCCTGAATTTATCGTCATCGCTGAAATCGTCGATCGATTGACGCAAGCATTCGTGACCCGTCTTTCACCTGAATTTCACGCAAATAATTAGAAACTTTCTGCTAACCATTGTTTGACAAATAATCTATTAGTTGCTCGTATTAGCTTCAAAAACATTTTAATATAACACAGCATATTTTGGATTAATGAGAATTTTTATTTCTTGACGGAAGAATATTTAACGCAACCGGTTAATCTGATTACTTTGTAAAAGGACGTTATTTTCGAATTAGTCAAAGAATGAGCGACGTTATGACATCAGAGGAAATGTCGTTGTAGCGTAGAAAAGTACTAAATCGCAACAAAAG